GATCGAACAAGTGTCCAATCCAACTTGGCATAGGGCATATGTTGCCCAACTTGCGACACGCGACATGCGGCCAAACGGCTCTTGTGGTCATCATCCGTCTCGCTCGGATCGCAATCGCAGTCTGCACCTCAGTGACAGATAAGTTCCTCAGAGCTGTCGCAGGCTCGAGTCGCTGCGCATCAGGCGTCCCAAGCTCCAGGAGCTGACCAATTCCCCAAAAACCTCCTCGGCTCCTCCAGCATGGTACGGCAACGCCCCGATCAATAAGGGAACTTTGCTGCTCCACCCGTCACCACGCTGCGGCGCTGCAGCGTGCGTCAACGGTGATCCAGCGCGGGAACAAGTGACTTTGATTGCTTGGCTCCCCGCCATCTTTCCCTTCTTTATACGTCGAGCGAGCGGCCGGCTAGTGCGGCCGACACTTTAGCGAAACGGCACCGACAGATCCAGCCTCCCACTCGTCACGGTCTCAAAACGCCGTCCATCTGTCAAAATCGCATGTCAGGAATCCCATTGGAGTTTGCGCCTGCGCCGCATTGACTCAGCTCATACAACAGTACATGGCACCCAGCGCCCGTATATCTGTCAAGTTTCTCGACTTTCCTGCGACAGAAACAGAGCTCTTTATCTGGTGTAACTCGAAGCCACACACTTTACTACGCGGACTGCACGGGAAAAGCAATCACGCCCTGCTATTCGTTCAATGCCAGCCTCCCCGCGAGCCGGTCACCATACGATGCCGTTGCCGACATTTGACTAGTGTCCGGCCATCCGTCGCTGCTGAGACCCTAGCTCTCAGAGCCGCGATGCCAATGGACAGTCTCTGAAGACTTTGCACCTCCAGCACTCCGGATTGGCTGACCGAGGCAGCTCAACAGCGGGGTAGATCAAACCGTCAACAAATCCAAGAGCAGCCCTCCCGTGCCATTCACTAAACATGACTGCATTGTACCTCTTCCTTGCTCCTTGATAAGCTACAGCTCACCCCGAGCTACCTTGCCTAGGTAAAGGCAGTAGGTATGCACAGCTGGAGCTGCTATAGAATTTTCGGTCAGGATCCCGCAGCTTTTTACCTGGCCCTCCTCTGAGAAATGGTCCACTGCCGCAGAGATAACTCAAGCCGATTTTGCACATTTTCAGTTCGAGTTGCCACTGTGCCTGAAGGCCTCGCCAGTCAAGCTTCACCTGTAGAATTGTTGAGTTGTCAATCTAGATGCCCTTGATATTTGGGAAAAGACCTTAGCCGGCCAATCCATGTAAATGAAGCACTCGAGGTATCATGTATGTGCAGTGCAATTATATACAAGATGCGAGGTAAATCGCATCATCCGCCCACTACGACAACCACTCCCCTCTCTGTCTCCCTTTACCTCTGACGCAGCTGCTTCTCGTGCTCGACCCAAAAGTTCTTGCAGGCCCTGTGACCCCAATGCTCAACCCACCACTCCCCAAAGCTGTCCTCGACCTCATGGTCCACCTTGCTCACCCGCTCGTCGCGCTTCAGCCCGCAGATGACGCACGGCTTGGGCGCAGTGGGCACCACCTTGGCCGTCGAGACGGGAATCGTCTCGTTGAGCTCGGGCACGCGGAGCTGGTCCCGCGGATTCTTGGCGCCGGCGGTGGAGTTGGCCGCCGCGACGGCTGACCGGAGCCTGCCGACGTGCTCCCTCCACACGCCTACCACGTCCGCCGCCTCGCGGTCCTCGCGCGCCGATTGCGCTTTGTCCACGCCCGCGAGCTTCATGCCCTTTGCGCCGGCCGCGGAGATGGCCATGCCCTGGGACAAGAACTTGTCGCGGTGCCAGCGGAGCTTGCGGCCCGCGATGACGCGGGCGGCGACGGTGGCGAGGAGAAGGTAGCCGCGGAGGAAGATCACCGTGCTCGGGTCTTCGAGGATGCGTTTCCGGATGGGTGCCGCTAGCTGGGACGTGGGTTTGAAGAGTGACGAGTTTGCGAGGTCGAGTAACTGCGGGAAGATGGAGAGGATGACGGAGGGAGGAGGAATGTTGATGGGCGGCGGGGCGTCGTCAGGGATTTCTGAGGCTGTTGCCGGTGATGCTTCTTTCGTGGTTTTAGGGGCTGCTTTCTTGGCGGTGCTAGTGGTGCTGGATTTAGGAACTGGAGCTGGAGTGGACGACTTGACGCCGTCGACCGCGTCCCAATCCCAGCTCTCCGGGGGCCTGGAAGAATCAATCGCAGAAGGCTCGTCGTCGGGGAAATCCTCAAAGTCTGGCCACTCGTCCTCCTCCTGCGTCTTTTGAAGATTGGTGGTAGCAGAAGGGTTCTTAGCGGCGAAAGTCTTCGTGGGTGAGGTCTGTCCGAAAGCTGGCCAGGCTGTGACGGGTGTAGGCGACTCGGGCTTCTCGTCCTTCTTTTCCTCCTTCTTGAAGTCGCCATAAGTGGGTGTGGTGAGACCGAGCCCTGGAAAGGGGTTACGTTCCTGGAAGGAGGGCGACTTGGGAGCCTGGGGGTACGGCGATGTGGGCGCGTTGAGATTCAAAGAAGAGAGCTGAGGTCTCTTTTGCGGAGGCTGCGAGACTGGAGTGAAGTCATCGTCGAGAGAGAGGAGGTCCATGGAAGGTGGCTGTTGCTTTGCGGGCTGCGGTGGTGGCTGTTGTTGGGTCGGCGACCTTGGGTCCAGGGTCGGGCTCATGTCCGCGCCTGGGAAGGGAGTCTGAACAGTCTCGAAGTCTCCAAATTCATCATCGTCATCGTCATCGTTGTCTCCTTGAAGCTCGAACTCTTCAGCATCAAAGAGAATGTTAGGATCCGACTGTTTAGCTGGCTTCGGACTCGACTTCTTCTGAGTTCCGTACATTTGACTGGAGAATCCAGGGCTCGGCTGCGGCTTGGCCGAGGGCGCCTGAGATGAGAACCCTGGGCTAATTGCCGGTTTGGTGTTCGCAGTCTGCCACGATAATCCGGGACTAGGTTGTCGGTTTGTCTGCTGCCATGAAGGTCCTGAACTGGCCCCGGGTTGCTGGTTCGGCGACGGGAGGCCAGGACTGGGTATGGGCGACAGGCCCGAGCCATAGGGCATGTCGACGACATTGACGAGGTTGTTGGTCATGAGATCAAACGTCGAGGCGCGCGCGATACGGTTCCTAGGCGGCGGTGATGACCTCGCCTTGTTCGTCTGCGGGGGCAGCACGAAAGAGCGCTGAGTGGGTGTAGGTTCCGCAACCTCAAAGTCACCCCATCCGTCATCGTCCTCGACGTTCTGCAGATTCTGCTTCGGCTGCTGGTTTGATGTCGACGAGGAGGTGAAGCCCGATGAAAAAGCGCCGAAATCACCCCATCCACCGCTGCTGCTACTGCCACCGCCGGCAGCACCACTTGGTTGCTGCGGCTCAAAACTAGGCCATGGTACGGTTTGCTGAGCCGGAGCGGGTGCCGCCGCGGGCTTGCTGCCGACACTGTTGCTGTTGCTAGTAAAGGAGGCAAAGTCAAAGAGGTCCGTCGACGATGCCGTTACTTGCTGCGGGCGTTGCGGTTGTAACTGGCCTTGTTGGCCCCCCGGTTGGTTTTGTTGTGACGGGGGGCTCTGATAAAAGCTGTCGAGGTCCAAGAGATCGGCACTCATTGCGTCGGCTTGATCACCTCCGGATACACATGCTTTCCGACCCAAGTTGATTATGGGATCGTGTCCTCACAGGACTTGAGATCCGAGGATGATAAGGGGAAAAGGATATGCCGATGTTGAGCGGGTGACGATGAAGGAGACAAAGGAAGTTTATCCGTATGCGTAGATTGGGACGGGATAGGTGACCTCTTAGGACCAGGTTAATCAAATAGGGGATCGCCCGCTCGGCAAGAGGCACCGGTCAATGGGGCTGAGAGGCCAAGGGAGGTTCCACGGGGCCGGGATTGACTGGGCGGATGATTTGAGCTGAACTTCTAAAGTGCGGATTTTGGGGGGAACATCAGAAGGCGACAGGGCCTAAAAGGCTCGGGCACTTCCTTGCAGAGCGCCACAGCCATAGCTACCACTACCAGATCCTTGGCCAAGACTTGACCAAGACATGCACGGCGAGTCCGTTCTTTGGGCCAGCCAGCCCTACAGCACGGAATGCTCTTATTACAGAGTATGGAGAATACCTTACTTCTTCTCTCGTATAAACTTATATGCCACGATGAAGCAGTACTGGTCCGCAAGTGACTTACTTTAGTTGGATTCGATCTCTTTTCCGCAGACTTCGTTGTTGGCTGTAATGCACACAATGTGCCAACTCTTCTTATGACGGTTCTGCACTAAGAAAAATGAGTGTTTTTATGTATGTGCTCGTCAATTCTAGCCTAGTCTTTAACTGATAATTGGCAGTTGATTCGAATAATAAAAAGATTGACGCGAAAGCTTAAGATCAGCAGGCGACACTGTTTTGACGGTCCCCTGGCATTTGGGTGGCGCTGTCAAAGGTCGGCACGGAGCTTAGACCACACCGATTACGTGGGGGGTCTGGCGCAGAAAACTCCAACTGAGCTCCTAAAATTTCGAGGCCAGGGGTTGAGAGTGTCTGCCGGTCCTTCATCATCAAGCTTCAGGCCCAGTGTCGACTCCTTTGCGATCGCCCACAATGTCGTCGCGAATACTGGCATCGCTGTGCCCTAAGTGTCATTTGACATTGCGACCGCAGTCTTTCCCACGCTTAACGACTTCGCCATGGTATACACAAAGCGCCGGCTTCCGCTCAGCCACCAAGGGGAAGCCATCACGAATGGTCCTTTCAGACGATGTTGCACGACCCCGAAACCGAGATGCCAGACCGCCACGACGACAAGTTGAAGGACCTTTTGGTGGTATGAACCAGACCTTTGCGAGAGTACCCGAAAAGCGCACGATACGTCCACCCAACGCGAGGGACTCGAGGGATGGGAGAGGCTCTTCAAACAGGTACAACAGAGGCGATTCCCAGACCTCTTCCGATCCGCGAAAGGCTTTGAAAATGCAACGGTCTCTGGCGGGGGTCTCATACGGAAAGAGAAATGTTTTGAAAGACAAAATGCAAGAATACGAATCATTCGACCAATTCAACCTCTTACCCATAATGAAGGACGGCATCAAGGATGACCTTCTGCGAGGAATGGTGGAAATCAAGCCAACGCCCATCCAGAGGCTTGCTATTCCAGCCATGCTGGGCCAGGCTAGCGCCTTCAAAGTCCGGGGCGAGAAGAGGCAAGACTTTCTACTTGCTGCCGAGACTGGTTCTGGCAAGACGTTGGCGTACATGCTGCCGGCCGTCAACGCTATGAAGATCGCTGAGGAAGCCAACCCTGAGATCCAGTCCTTCATGAAGCGCTTCCAGGAGGAGAAGGAAAGAGAACAGAAGGCCAACAAGGGCCCCAAGTCCAAGAAAATGTCTGCATTCGATGAGCCTCACCCGACCATGGCTAGACCTCGCATCATCGTTCTGGTCCCTTCTGCAGAGCTCGTGGAACAGGTTGGAAAGGTGGCCAAAACCCTGTCGCACGCCGTCAAGTTCAAAGCAGAGGTTCTCTCCGCCAACCTCAAGGCCCTGACGATCCAGCGCAATCTGTACTCGCCGCGTGGTGTCGACATGGTTGTCACGACGCCTCACCTGCTAGCCTCGATTGCCGAGTCCGATCCCAACGTCCTCTCTCAAGTCACCCATCTGATTGTCGACGAGGCGGACTCGCTCTTTGACCGAAGCTTTGCCCCCGTTACCACGACCATCATTGATAGGGCGATGCCGTCCTTGAAGCAGTTCATACTCTGCTCAGCAACAATACCCAAACGACTGGACAATTACCTCGCCAACAACTTCCCCAACATGACGAGAATCACAACGCCGAACCTTCATGCTATCCCCAGAAGAGTTCAACTCGGTGTCATTGATGTTGTCAAGGACCCTTACCGCAACAACAAGAACCTGGCCTGCGCCGATGCCATCTACACTATTGGTCGAGAAGCCTCCAAGCACGAGGGCCCGATCCAAGGTGAAATTGACGTCCGCCGAATTATGGTGTTTGTCAACGAACGTGAGAAGACAACGGAGGTTGCTGAATACCTTCAATCTAAGGGCATCGACGCTATTGCGTTGAACCGGGACGCAGCCGAGAGCCGCCAGTCCGAAATGCTGAAAGCCTTCACTTCTTCAGAACCCTTGCGCGCAGTGTCATCACCAGAGGCCTCCGTACCAGGCAAACGATCGCTGCCCAACACCAAGGTCATTGTTGCCACCGACTTGGCCTCTAGAGGTATTGACACATTGGCTGTCCGCCACGTTATTCTTTACGACGTCCCGCACACTACCATCGACTTTATCCATCGCCTGGGAAGAGCGGGTCGCATGGGACGACGTGGAAGAGGCATTGTGCTTGTTGGCAAGGATGACAAGAAGGACGTCGTTGCCGAGGTTAAGGAAAGCATGTTCATGGGTCAGGCACTTATCTAGTGACCACTCATGGCACGGATAAACAAAAACAATGTACAACAATCATGTAAAACACCTTGTATATCACTAAAAAAAAACAGATAGAGTCGAGGCAAAGGGATGGGATGATGCACAGATACCTGGGATACATTCGGCTCAGGAGACATGACGGTGAAGAGCGAGGTCTCAGCTCCCTAATGAAACATTTTCTACCAACCAATAGACCAAGCCATTACTAGCAACACGTCCTTTCGATAAACTTCAGATAACGTCATGCATAATGAACTGTGAGCCTGTGACAGCTTGTTGACAGTTTCTCCAAGTCAAATTGTGGCTAGTGGTGTGGCGCTAGCTCTCTGCTTTCAATTTGGGAGTGGGTCGCGAGCTGGACCTGCAAGGTTGGAGTTCGCGACGCGTCCGGCCCGCAGGCGTTTCCCTCCCACACCACATCAAAATATCACAGACTCTACCCCGTCTTATCACTATAGGTCGCAGCCTGATGCCCCGGTCAGATATTCGTACGACAATTCTTCACGACACCTTTACATAGTATTGAATAGCTGTCACCCCAGGCACTCTGCAGTTTCCATTAACATCAAGTGCCCGCCATGCCACGACCTAAACGAGCGCGTCGCGCACCAACCCAGCCAGTCGCAGCTGTGCCCGCCGCGCCTGAAGCAAGATCGAGCCCCGCGCCCGCGTCAGGCAGCGATATCTACAGCCACAGCGATCGCGAACATTCTGTCATTAGGAAGGAGCTTGCAGAGGAGGACACATCTCTCTTCAAGGAAGGTCCGTCTACGCGTCTAAGCAGGAGTTCCAGCTTGCGCCAGAGGCAGGTGCCGGGCAAGGCGGGTCATGCGTTGGACGATAATGTGAGCAAGCTAGAGGACGCAGTCGAAACGGCGGCTTCCAAGGCAAAGACATCCAGCGAACAGCAAAAGTCGGATTCGTCGGTCGAAGTGGGACGGAAGACACGCGCAACGCCAGTTCAGCAGCGCAGGGACACGACGGGGTTGGATTTGGACGACGATATGTTTACGGGACTTGACACGACTCTCGGCGATGATGACGATGATGCCGCTGCGCCTCCAAGTGCGCCGCGATCCGAAGCCTCAAATTTCAGTGTGAGCCACTTTAGACGAAAGGGTCGCGCGCCGAGTATCAGTATCAACAAGGACGATGCGCCCATTAGACCAAGTAGTCGTGGAGTTGGTGGCACGCCTAGTATCAGCTCGACCTTCAACATTGGTCTGTTTAAACGCCGTCAACGAGAACCAAGTATTCTAGGGACGGCGCAGAAGGAGCGCGCACAGAGGCCGATTGAGGTATCGTCAGGGTCCGAGTCCGACGACGAGGATGGTGAAGAATTTGAGCCCGAGGCCGAGTCGACGCCTCTTCAGAATCGCCGCAGAACACAACCTGCTCCCGCAACTGAGCTCGAGTCAGAATCGCAGCAAGTTCTAGCACCGGATTCTCAGCCCGCCGAAAAAGACGCTGAGCCAACAAGCGCCAGCTCACGGAAGCGGAAGAGCATAGAGAGCCACGAGGACACTGAGCGTCCGGGAAAGGCGTCAAGGACTGAATCCGAGCCCGCGCCTGAGTTGGATGACGATGACGACAGCGATTCAGAGCTCTCCGAGCTGCCTTCTCCTGTTCTGACTCCCACGAGACCTTCTGCTTTCCCGCGGCCAGTTACTCCGAATCAAGAAGACATCATGGCACCTCCTGAGAGCAGCGACTCGGAAGATAACAACGAGGCGTGGCCCGACATTCGCACACTTGCCAAACAGCGCCGCCGCCAAGCGCCTACCACACCAACGCGAGATGGCAACATCTCCGATGCTTCCTCGCCGCCTTCGCTGACCCACTCGCCCAACTTCCCAGCGACAAGGAATAAGTCCAAGCAGAAGAAGCAGGCCAAGGCGCCCAAGGTTACGACAGCGGATTTGACGGGCATGCTGCCGCGCAGACGCTCCAAGAAGAATCGGGACCCTTATAGCGTGGGCGGCTCTGAGGATGAGGAGGCACGCAACTCCGACGCCTCCCAGGATGACGACGAGCTCTCATACGCGGATACGAGGACTCGCTCACGCCGGGCGAAGACGACACCTCTCAACCGTAGCACGGCAAATAGGCCACCATCCCGTGGTGGCCGCGCCACGGCGGCGGCAGGGAAGGCGAAAACAGCGGCACCTAGCACTCGTGCGTCAACACGCACTTACAGCCGCAGACTCTCGGACAAGGAGAACGAGGGCGAGGGCGAGGTTGCGGGTGAAGCAGGGGCAGAGGCGGAGACTGGAGCGGAACCCGAAGCGGGATTCGAGGGTGACAGCTTTGCCCCGATTCGGGACGACGTTCTCGAGAGCCAGGAGAGCAGCGACCCCACGCGCAGTGCCGACGAGCTGAAGAAGGCAACGCGCAAATTTAGAGAAGTTGACCGCTGGCAGCTCGAGTTTGAAGAAATGACGGAGGGATCATCACCCAACCGAGATGCACGGTAGAAAGAGAGGGGAGGGCAAGATTGTCTTTGGTACTGACGGATTACTGGCTTGGTGAACAAAATGGAGGGCACGGTGTTTATGAGGGACAGGGTGGGAGTTTTTTGCGCGTATTCTATGTTCATGAAGCCGTCAAGTACCTATACGGACTGGGTTGGGAGGCTTTCTTCGCGGTTTAGCTGATGTTGAGCTCTAGCGTATACGCTGCGCTGTTATCCATACCTTGTTGACAGTATGTCGTCGATGCGGTTCATTATTTACAACTCCCCAAAAGACTGCAGTCAAGTGACACACAACACACACAAACAGAGCTTAATTCACTTTCTTCACAAGTGGTCATTTGATTTTCTCGAGGCAAATGTGATATACCTACAATGTCGTGATACTTTTCCCTGGTTCGTCCGAAACGCCTTTCGTTAACCCATAACGCCAGCCATCCATCCCCCTTGCGAGGAGGGGTATTTCTTTGAAGCAATACGCGAGGGACTGAGAACTCTGTGTTCAATTCTTGAGGAATACGCTCTGTACCGTCTGCTCCACAGTCGGCAGCAGGTTGTAGAGTAGGTTTGGATCACGCAGCGCGATGACAATGTCATCTGGCAACCTGCCCTCCATGAATAGTGACTTTGCGGGGTAGTTCGTTAGCATTGCAGGTTCCAAGTCGAGGAGATTGCATAGCATGGTCTCTAACATAATAGCGAGAACAAGAAAGAAGGAGGAATAGGGGAAAAAAAAAGAAGCTCACCCGCTTGACGCTGTCAAAGCTATCCTCCTTGGCCGTGTACTCTCGAATGACCTCGTCCGTCTCAAAGTCGACGTACACCCTCGTGTCCCGGATCCGCACAATCACATTATCGAGGCGCATGAAGAGCCTGCACAGCAGCAGCATGCGCTTCTCGTGCACGCGGACTTTTACGCTGACGATCGAGATGCCGTTGTCGTCGAGCTCGCTCTCGAAGAGCACCACGTCGTCGAAGAAGAGGATCGGGTCGCGGCGCTTGAGGAGCTCGAGGGGTATCATCCTCGTCGTCGTCTCCTCGAGTTTGTTCTTGTTTTCCTGCGCTTCCTGCTGCGCACCCGCGGTTCCTGTCGGCTCCTCCAGCGTCCCCCGGTACTCGGTGGAGTAGGACCAGTCGTACGGCTTCACGACCTCCTTGATGCCCGCGCTCGTCTTCTCGCGCGAGGAGGACCAGTCACGCGCGTAGGCGACCTGCAGCATCTTCTTGTCCGTCTTGTCGACGGCGTCGAGCGCGTCGTAGGCGTTGAAGGCGATGGACCAGCCCGTCGGCACGTGGGACACGGAGACGAGGTTGTCGCCAAAGATCATTTCGGGGACGGGGATGCCGAGCGAGGCCGTCATGTCGTCGATGGGGCCGGCTTTGGAGATGGGGAGCTTGCGGGAGGCGACGCGGAAGTTGCGCTGGGTGTGGGTTGTCGTTGCGGCGGCGAGGGCGGAGGGGGTTGGGAAGGGTTCGTTTGGGTTGGTTATGTGGTTCATCTTGGGCGAGACTTGCTTTCTTGACTTTTGGTATGGATTATGCCGGTCTGTGTGGGATTTGGGTGGTGCGCGCGCAGGCGGGTGTTCGTGGTGAGGATGGATGATGAGCTTCGCGGGAGGTTGAGGATTGGGGGTGGTGCAGCTCGGATCGGAGGTAAAGTTGCTGGCTTGCAGTTGGAGCTCTACATAGTTCAGTTGGGGGGAGAGAGGTGGTGATGGTGGGGTTGGCGGGGAACACGAAGGAGTCTCGGGACCCAGACCCCTGCTTGTCTCGGTGAGGGTGACGGGCCAGACGTCACTCGTCACTCACCGACTTACACCGAGACTGATTCAATATAAATCGACTTATTCAAAAATACAAAAGAGTTCACCCCCCCGGTGCCGATTGGGGGCTACATCTCTTGGCGCTCATGCTGGGATTCGAACTCGGGTACTCGCTAAGCCTGTCGTCGAGTAGGCTGGTTGGTGTATGAATTGATTGTTGACCATGAACCATTCTACCACCCACGCCACAGTTTGACCTGACCCCCGACCTAGAGGGCGCCTGCTGTGCTGGTGACAGGAATGGAGTCGAGGGGGTATATGAGGCTTTCTCATGATCGGATGAGATCTAGGTACGTATCTCCACTATCTATGGATGCGAGCAACCCTGGGAGCTTTTGCCCAGGCTGTACCACCTTTATCGTGAACTCTCCCTTGAGTCAACACCCAGTGGGATACCCGAGACCTAGATTCGGTGTCATTAGTAATTTGTATGGGCGTATGATGTGTTCGATATGTTCGATAGAAGTTCAAGGCGGAATTTCAGAAAGAAGGCCTCGCCTGTTTTGCTGATATCCCTCGTTAGCCCGAATTTCTACAACAACAAATATGAACTCCAGGATGTTTTATTAACCGATAAATCATCAAGGCTTCTTTCCGTCGTCATTCCGTTGAGAAATACAACAGCCCGTCCCGATGGTTTCTCCATTTCGAGCCTCTTAAATTCCAAACAGTCGTTTTAAACCTTTGAGACCCAGGCGGGTGAATAATAGGAGACCAAGGAGGGAAGCACGGGTCACTGTCGGTTGAAAAGTATCTGAGTATGTGGCGATATATGTCGCTGTGGGAGTACCTCATGACTAGATTCGGCATTCTAATTTATCATCCTGAGATGTAGGCATCAGCCACTCTCGGGGAACGCTAGGCCATCACCATTGCTGGTGTAGTAGCCTCAAGCTCAAATTGTACCCAGCTTGTCGCATATTTCCATCTTTATTTGCCACAAGCTTAACGATCATGGCGGTTTTATCATGTTATTGAGCGTAGATGGAACGTGTGGATGAATGTGCGGAAAGAATTGACATCGGCTGGCAATACTGCTTATCTTTATTGAGACTACTGATGATGAGAAATCATATTCACGATTGGCTTTCAAATTCAATCCTAGGGAATTATACATCCTGAATGTTGGACACTGGAACGCAACGATGAAAATGAACTCTATTGACTTGGCTAAGTAATCGACGACGAGTAACAACAAGCCGGACAGCAAGCAGATCTTGCAGGCACGAAAGGTATTAGACCCCCTCAGGGGATTATAGGGTCTGGCTGTGAAGCGATGAGTGCCGCCGACATTGAACCCCACTGCTTCTCTGATGGAGATAGATTAGTATGTTGCAAATCGATCCATCGCCCATAGGATCAACAGATCATTGGGTGAGCTCTACTAAGCCACCGGAGAAAGGTTCTTGATAAATAACAACTAACGAACTATAGCTGTAACTCATGGGAATGGGTTCCTCCGATATAACAACTGAGTGGCATATCAAACGTCAAGATGCCTTCCCTAGCCACCATAATATTCGTTCATCTTTCATCTTTCTCGAATTCACGACCGATACTACATAAGGTGGACCACAACAGCTTTCCCGAGAACCAATAAGTTAAGGACTTTCAAACATGGCCCACTCTCAACCGCAACATTGGGGTCGGCCTCAAGCTGGTCGACCTCAAGCTCCTCGACCGCGGTTCAACAGCCTCGGCCTACGTCGCAGCGCTGCCCCAACCACGAAGATTGCTACTACGGCCAAGTCATCCGACAACCGTCTCTCTCCTTTGGACACATTTCGAGCAATGATCGAGGAGTCGGGGCCCAACGTCGATATGTACGCTCTGTGCGATAGATGCGGACGAGTCCTCAAAGTTCCGGTACCAAAAGAATGGCTTGAAAGACTAGAAAGAGAGAAAGATCGATATCCTCTCCCTTCAAACCTTACACCTCGATCCTGGCAAGCGTATCCAGGGGATACTCATCTCCGTATCTCTTCACAGGTTTGCCCTGGTAATGAAAATGGCACCTGCCTCACCAAGCGCACTCACGATGATATAAAGACCTGGGGAGAACTCAAGGCGTTGCCGGAAACATCACCTGAAGTAGACCAGGAATGGCTTCAACTTGACCTTCCGTCAGCTGTGGGATACCTGGCGGCCCCAGACTGGCAAGAAAAACTCCAATCCGCAGTGATCAATGCTTCCAGAAATGATCCCCCGGAGTCCAGGTTGAGCAAGTCCTGGGTCAATTACATCTACTGGCGATGTGCCTGGCTTTTCTTCTCTCTGCGCAAAGGGGGCCTGCGGCACGAGAACGCCAAACTTGAGAGAATGTGGGGTCAAGTCGATGTGGACATATTGCTCCTGGAATATGGCGTGCTCGAAAAGGCAGATCTGGAGGCCCTGTATTGTACAAGTTATTCAACTCTCGCAGGCTTGGTATCTTGTAAGTGGCTATACGGGTCGGCCCTGCTCAACATGTTCTCTGGGATCAGGCGCGATATCGGTAAAGATCAGTTCAATCAGCTCAAGAGGGCCGTCCAGCGAGCTGATACGGCCATGGGGAAATACCTCTTGGCCTGCGTCAACATGGACGCTGTGGAGTGGAACGCCCGACGGCGCGCTGCTTTCACTGCGTATCGGCACGTCGAGGAGCACTTGCACCATTACGCGAGTGCTTCGCAACTGAGAGAATTCCTCAAATTACGGCAGTCGCCACCTCCGCCTTCGGCCGAGTTGTTGGAGGAATCCTTGGCTGAAAAGGGGGCACAAGAGCGGACTATGCTTATTAGAGCTTCGAGACACATGGAGCTCGACAAGAGCGGCAACAAACCTGATTGGGTTCGGAATCGAGCCCAGCTGGCCAGGTCGGTCCCCAATCGATGGCCCAGGTGGGAGTCTGCCGGGATTGACAGGCTTCATGCTCGTTAGATGCGGCACTGAGAGCTTGAAGATGCAACACTCAGACTACACAGCCACAGCTGGTATGCCTTGAGTCGAAGCTGGACGTATATATGTATAGAGGAAATTTTTCAAGGATATCGTTTTGGAGGACCACTTCATTATAGAGGCGGTCTAAATTACACGAGGTAGGAATTACCGAGGAAAGAGACTCCAGATATCGTTACTGGACTATACAGGTAGCCAGTAGTTGACCTGTATTAATTGCGCACAATCTATTATTTACGGTCCAGTTGCTTTCCTTCGGTATTCCGACGTCACCCACGCGCAGTTGATTCTGCTCCTATGTCCAGAGATGATCTATAACCAACAGCTACCATGAATGAAGGCAATTGGGTTGACAAACTCCGTTCGTAGGGCATGTCGTTGGTGCATTTGCTCATCGCCGGCCTCTCGAAAACAACACGGCTCAAACTAGTAGACCGAGAGCCACGTGCACGGTGTCAAACATGAATGAAAGAAGCGAGTCAATCAAGAAGACACGGTCTAGCCAACACGGATCTTGGAAAACCTGACCATGTCAGATCAAGCTGACAGCGGCTAGCAAAGTTGAGGCTGTCGGTCGCCCAGGAAGTGGGAAGTGGGGGAGAGATCTGAAAGAGCGGGGCGGGTCGCTGCCCTGGCGCCGGCGCCGTCGTTCCCCTGGCAACCATCCTCACCCCCGTTGTTTAGCTTCCCACACCTAGCTCGTCCATCGTTACCCGAGAACCTTTCTTAATAACCTGACAACCAACTCCAGGTTCCTTGATTCAAAAACCCTCAGTGCACTCTTTTTAACCAACAGGGAACATTCGACTTGCTACATCTCCATCCACAATCACATAGCAAGATGGCGACTCGGACGCTGGAATCGCGCTTTGAGCGCATGTCGGTAAACGACGAGAACGAGCCTGTCGATGGCGGCAAGCTCTACTCCAAGACTCAGGTTGGTCTCGTCGACACATGTGTAGTCGCCGTGTGGAATCATGGCTGACGATTGTCCCGTAGACTTTGGTGAAGACATCACAGCTCTCCCAGAGCTCGAGCAGACCGAACCTCATCAAGGTCGCCCTCCAGTCCCAGAGCACCAACGCCGTCGCCTCGGTAACGCTGCCATCACAAAACGCACAACGACAGGCCAAGAACCCGGCATCGCCCGCAAGAAAACCCCTGCCGTCCAGCTCCTCGAGAACGTCCGACGAGGTTGTCGAGATCGAGCGCAAGTCCGGCGTCTCCATCGTCATCGAGCCCTCGATGCCCAAGGTCTTCCACCTCGGCATGTTTGAGATTGGCCGGCCCCTGGGCAAGGGTAAGTTCGGCCGCGTGTACCTCGCGAGGGAGCGCACGAGCGGCTTCATCTGCGCCCTCAAGGTCCTGCACAAGAACGAACTCCAACAGGGCCGCGTCGAGAAGCAGGTCCGCCGCGAGATCGAGATCCAGAGTAACCTGCGCCACCCCAACATCCTCCAGCTGTACGGCCACTTTCACGACAGCAAGCGCGTCTTCCTCATCCTCGAGTTCGCTGGCAAGGGCGAGCTGTACAAGCACTTGCGTAAGGAGAGCAGGTTCCCCGAGTGGAAGTCGGCGCAGTACATTGCCCAGATGGCCTCGGCGCTGCGCTACCTGCACCGCAAGCACGTCATTCACCGTGACATCAAGCCCGAGAACATCCTCATGGGCATCCACGGCGAGATCAAGATTTCCGATTTCGGCTGGAGCGTCCACGCCCCCAACAACCGTCGCAACACCATGTGCGGTACCCTCGACTACCTGCCCCCAGAAATGATCAAGCCTGGTAGCTCGGACAACTACTACAACGAGAAGGTTGATCTCTGGAGTTTGGGTGTCTTGACGTATGAGTTTCTCGTTGGCGAGGCACCGTTTGAGGATACGCCCGTGATGACGCAGCGGAGGATAGCTCGGGCTGACATGACGGTTCCGTCCTTTGTCAGTCCCGAGGCCAAGGACTTGATCAAGAAGGTGAGGCAGCATTTATCCAAATTCATGATACACAAAAACGAATGCTAACATCATCTCTAGTTGCTTGTTCTCGACCCCGAGAAGAGAATACCCCTGGAGCAGGTCCAGACCCACCCGTGGATCGTCAAGCACTGTGTGAAGGGCGAGAGAGCCGCCAACCGTGAGAAGAGCTCCTAATTAATGACCCTTATGATTCATGCATACATACCATCAAGGCATAACGGCCCTTGTAGGATTACCGGCGTTTTCTTCTTCTTTGCGGTATTCAGGCGGGCTCTGATCTACAGCTTGGGGTTTTCGGGAGTGGGAAAGGTGTTTCCAATTGCATGTACGGGAGTTGGTGTTCTTAATGTCCGTCGTTTTCAGAGTATCAAGAAACCCAAAGAAGCATAGCCATCGTCCAAATATTTTGCTATATTTCCCGGTGTTGTCTTCCGTGAGAGTAGGAAGAAATAGTACATGAATAAAGGGGGGTATTGTTTACACACGCTCGTTTTGTGAACGAGCCCAATCCTGTCGTCATCGTCCATCACCTGTAAACCTCGTCAAAGGGCCGCGTATCGCTGAAGCAGGACTCCCAGACCTGGTTCACCACCTTGGTCGCCTGCACATCATCCTTGCACCTGGGTCGGTTGAGGACGGACTGTATCGCGCGCTTCCGCACGCAGTCCTGGAACTGCTGAGACAGGCTCCAGTTGCCTCTTGTAAAAGCCTCTCTTGTCCATCTGCACTCGCCGCTGAGCATCGATGCTCGGATCTGCCGTCCCGTCAGTTCAGTTTCTCCCGTTCTCTCCGCCTCTGCTCGGGATCAGCCGGCGCAGGACGCAACCTTACCTCTGTACACGCTGCATGCTTCAAATCCAGATCACCCATCCAATCCACCTTCCACCGCAGGTGATCCCACGCGTGCACCATCTCGTGCGAGAGTGTATCCTCCAGGTGCTTCCGGTCCCTGACCTCGTTGGCGCAGATCATGATGCCGTGGGCGGGGCTGAAGCCGCCCGACTGGCGGTGGACCTCGCCGTCCTCGGTCAGGCGCGCGGGGCACCGGCGGCACTGGATGTTGGACGCGTCGAGGGTGCCGTTGAGGCCGGCGATCTTTTCGTTGAGGAAGCGCACGGTCGGGGAGAAGGCGAGGAGCCAGTCGCGGTGTTCCTCGCAGCGCTTGCAGTCGCGCTCCTCGTTGGCGCGGTACCGGGCCTCGCGGTAGTGGAAGGCGCCTTCGGCTGTCATGCGGCCCGTGAGGATGTTGAAGTAGTTCATCCACCACTTTGTCTGCGGGTCGAAACCGGTGCGAGCGGGGTCGTTGGTGAGCTCGCGCGGTGGTTGTTTCTGCTGCTGTTGTTGCGCGGGTGGTGATGATGATGTTGTTGGGGAAGGGGTCGCTGTCGAGGGGGCTGAGGGGCCCAGTGCCGCCGCTTGTTTGTCGTCGAGGATTGTCATTTTGGGCGTCGTGTGGTTGAGAATTCAACTGTGCTTCGAGATTTGTCGCTGATGATGGAGGTCTACAACATGAGGATCGGGTGGTGGTTGGCCAAGGATGGAGGTCGTTGCTGGAAGATCGGGAATTTTTGGCCGTTATCGATAAACCCTTCGATATGATGGTGGTAGGTACTTGGCCAGAGGTACCACTTCATGGATACCTACTGCGTAAAGACAATTGTTGCACTCCGTCGTCCCATCATTCCTTGCGAACCAAGAGAGCGCAACATTCCTCCTATGCCATCTCAAAGCTTGTATCTTCTTTGAAGAAGTTCATTCAATGATCTCGCAAATGACTTTGAGTCAACTAATTGCTACCTGATCCTTTTGAACCATAAGTCCGATGTCCTAGCATCTTGCCGGTTGTCGTAACTGGCAGACCGCAGATCTACCGAGGGCGCGCCCTTTCCACTCAGTATGCAACGCAACGTGGAAATGACTTGACCGGCGGTTCAGCTCTTTCTCTTAATCGAGACATAATGGGAATACCACGGGTTGTTTTTGGTAGGCAGGGATAATGGCAACAATGGGCCGGGCCATCAAGACCAACGGTGAAGATGCCCGGTGCACTACGTACGGCAACCCCCCCGGATTTTAGGGTCAGTATATCGCCCAATCACAGGCGTCTTTGACAGCCCAACTCCCGGGCGTTCTCCCGCCTTTCCTCTACACCGGACGATCCCGATGTCGGGCCAGTTTTTTTTTACACTTCCACGCCGGCCCAGTCATAGGTTCAGCGGAAGAAAAAAAGGTACACGCAACCGACAAGTCAAAAGACAACGAAAGGGCGCGGTAAACCGACCAGGGGCCTTGCACACATCACCACATCAGAACCAGGCGGATCCTTTTTTTCGTCCCACAATTAACCAACTCGAAGCAACGGTGCTGGGCTCTGACTCTGGCAATGGCGGAAGCGGGTGGTCCTACGTGTAAGAAAGGGATCCAGTTATTTTTTCTCCCCTCCTACGTAATGCGCCTGGTGCCATTTGCTTGGGCGTCTTCTTGCGTTGATCGTGGCTGTCCCATTCTTGACACTACTTTATTTATACTTATTAGTTGATGTCGTTATCTCTCATTTTGGGCAACGGGCCGGATGACCTTGTGAGATTTGTTTGACTGACTTGAGATTCCACCATCTGCAGACATGAAGCACCGCGAGGGCCGGAAACCTCTGACGGTGGTGCTGAAACTTGGTGAGGCTTCAAAAGTGCTGTATCCTTCAATGATCCATGTGCTAACTCATCGCACAGGCACCAGCTCTATCGTGGACGAGAAGACACATCAGCCCTTACTCTCCATCCTGAGTCTTATTGTTGAGACGGCCGTGAAGTTGAGGAAAGATGGCCATAGGGTGGTCATTGTCTCATCTGGCGCCATCGGTGTTGGTCTTCTTCGGATGGAAATGGACAGACGGCCAAAGCACTTGTCAACACTTCAGGTACATTCCCAGACCTCAGGCCCTCGATCTCTGAAGTTGCTCAAGCTGAACAATACTCGCAGGCGTTAGCGGCTATCGGCCAATGTAGACTCATCAGCCTATGGGACGATCTGTTCGGCCACTTCAGACAGCCCGTCGCACAGATTCTGCTCACCAGAAACGACATTGCAGATGTAGGTCAAGCTCAGAAACAGACAACTATAGTAGGCAAGCTGCTGACACACATTTGCAGCGGACACGGTACCTCAATGCCCAAAACACATTCAACGAGCTGCTCGATATGGGCGTCATTCCCATTGTGAACGAGAACGACACGCTAGCCGTCTCAGAAATCAAGTTTGGCGATAACGACACCCTCTCCGCCATCGCCGCGGGTATGGTCCACGCGGACATGCTGTTCCTCATGACGGACGTAGACTGCCTCTACGACAAGAACCCCAGAGCACACCCCGACGCCCAGGCAATCGAGGTTGTTGAGGACATTTCAAGTATCCAAGCAGACGGTAAGCAGGCAGAAACCCTTCCCCCCTCTCGCCCTCCCATGTAGTGGAAAAGGGGGTGCCTCAGTCTCACCTAAGCTAACCCGACCTTTCCCCCAACTTAAGTCTCAACAGCGGGATCCGCCCTCGGCACCGGTGGCATGATGACCAAAATCGTCGCCGCAAGGCTAGCAACGCAAGCAGGTGTGACAACCGTCATCACCCGCTCTTCCAACCCGGGCAACATCGTCAAGATCGTCCGCTACGTCCAAGCCCAGCAAAAGTACACCTCCTCCTCTTCCTCGCCGCACCTAGGCGCCGCCCCAGACGGCGAGGACCCCGATAACCACCACGACAGCCGCGACCACACCGAAGACCCGTTAGCGCAGTCGACGGCCTCCCTCCACATAGACCAAGCCGTCGAGAAGCCCCCGCTGCACACCCGCTTCCTCCCCTCCACAGACCCCATTCGCGACCGCCACTTCTGGCTCATCCACGGTCTCAAGCCCCACGGCACGCTCTACATCGACGCGGGAGCCCACAGCGCCCTCCTCCGCAAAGCGGGTCTCCTCCCCGCGGGCGTCCTCGACGTCGAGGGCAACTTCGCGCAGCAGGAGGCCGTCCGCCTCGTCGTCGTGGACCGCCTCCACGCGCCCAGCACCACGGGTAAGCTGTGGGGCGGCACGCCCGTCGAGGTCGGTCGCGCGCTCGTCAACTACGCCGCGCCGGAGATCATGCGCATCAAGGGACATCAGAGCTCCGATATTGGCGGCCTGCTGGGGTACGCTGACAGCGAGTACGTGGCGGAGAGGCAGCACATTCGCATTTTTGATCGGGAGAGTCGGCCGGTGACGCCGAGTATCGAGAAGGTCAAGGAGCAGGTCGTCGAAGAGGTGATTTCAGGTATCACGGGTTATGAGCAGAAGACATAGACAAAATAGTGTTCATAGTAGACGCTCCGTTACGATCTACTTTTCTCTGTATAAGAGTTGTGTCAACATCCTACGCAACGCCCCCCAAAACGCCATAGTCGAAGAACCCGCTCCAGGAATCAAAACGCTTCCAATATTCGGTGGTGTATGGGATATCCCCAACCAGTAAAGAAGCCTTTGTAAAATACGCATGCCTGATGAATCTTCGCATGCATCGATACCAAGGACTATGTGATGAACACTTTCTTAAGCTTGTCTATGGGGTAGACCTCGCCGGTGCGCAAATCCTTGACCTGGTCTGATGACAAGCCAGACTTCTTTGCGTAATCCTCGAGGCGCTCCTTGCCGTACGCCCGACTGTTCGGCAGCAGCAGCAGATCGTGCTCGACGTAGCTCTTGGTGTGATGCGCGTAGGGGACGTTGCGGGCAAGATCGTTAAGCTCTGTTGAGCATATTGGGCAAACGGATTGCGTGCCTGCTGTGGCTGAGGCATTCGTTGCCGTATTGGCGTCGGCAGCGACATGCGATGAGTTCAGAGAATGGCAGGCTGGGGTCTTGAGGGCTGAAAGCCCCGAGGAGAGAGCGATGTGGAGGAGGGGATATGAAGGCAGAGCCAATAGACTGTTGTGAGTACGGGTAAAGAGGTCGGCGAGGGTGTTCCACCGTTCGGGGCTGTAGAGGTCTGAGTACACGGCATTGGCAGCCGTTGGTGGATAGGCTAGTAAACCAAAAGCCTTGCGAAGTTCGTCCGGATATGTCGCCTTGAAAGGGACGAGGTATTTCTTCGCGTGAGTGATGGCCTCCAGGAGTTTTGGCTGGGATTGGGTGCGGACAAGCTCGATATACTGCTGGAAGCGAAGCATGAATTCGAGATTACTCTGTTTGCACCAGGTCAGTCAAGATGCCAAGCGAGGTTGGGTATACAGCTAGACGTACATCCATCTTGCGAAGCTCCTTCTTGTTATCCTGGCACCAAGCCAGTGCCTCAACCACACTCCCTCCTCTGAGTGATTCTTGAATTCGACTCATCTGGACAAAGGTCTCAACGTCGACCAAATCATCCATTTTCCGCTCAGTTGTGAGTGCCTGCGCACTTTCGTTGTAGCCATGGCGAAGCAGATAATCGACGAGCAAGCGGTCGAGACGGGCGCGGCTCCAAGCCTCATATTTGACGTCGTCAACGGAATGCATGCCGTAGAGATCGCCGAGATGGGAGATACGGGCGCCGGTCTGACGGGTCAGACGAGCTTCTTCCTCGGCGTGAGCTGTGAGCTTGCGCTTAACGCCGCGCATGCGGGCGATCATGCTATCTAGATTGCGGAGAACATCATCGGGGGATGAGTTGCCCTTGACCGAGGCCGTGGCCGTCTCCTTCAGCAGGGTCTTGATGGCTGTAGAGTCCTTCTCGACGGTGAAGTGGGCGGAACGGAAGTTCTTTCGCAGGAGCTCGTACGGGAGGCGGAGGAGGGGTTGATCCTGTCGGTTGGAATGGAGGTTAGTGCGAGAATTGAATAGCTAGCTTCCTGTGACGCAGCGACGTACGAGGAGGAGATGGTCCTGATGCTTGATTGTGGCGTGCTCATGGTCGCCCATCTTGGCGACTTTCACGGACGTGGTGACGAAGTGCCAGACCGTGTTTGACGTCGTATTTTTGTTGGAGAGAACTCATATGCTGATGTCGTCGTTATGGCTCGAAAAGAAGCGAAAAGGCGTCGGTTTCGTTGGAGACTTGAAGTTGGGAGGTCGGAGCACAGGTGCGCTGGTACGGCCGCTAGCAGCAATTGACGTTATGCCGCCGAACGTGGCGGGGCCGGCATCTTTCCGCAACAGAGCTGGTCTTTCGGGAAGCTACCTTACCTCGCGAAACTTAATGGGGTGTCTAAACTTCCAGACTGCTTCGGATTTTCTCAAATGGTTTAAATATCTTGAACGTTCGTAACTACTATTCATCCGTCCTACTACTGAGATCTCATCCTTTTGAAGACCGACATTCCTTTCCAAACGCCCACTGGACCATGCTCTGAGCACTCTGCATTCATCAGTGACAGACCCAACATGAACGGGCTGTTCAGCACAGACCATACATGTGGCTCATGTTTGATTACGTAAAGACTCTGTTGAATTGAGTGTGAGCTCGGTCCAGCCACAACCCCGCTCTCCAAGGCTCGACCCAGCTCAGTTGTCACTTGCTACAACCAGCATCCGTAAGCAAATACGATGTGAGAGCTTGGGCAGAGGTAACACTGAAACGAGGCAGACGGTGGCTAGCAACGGTCGAGACTATTTCGAAGCCGGTGTATCTGCTGTGCTTCTCTTCAAAGTGGAATGTCTCACCGTCCATTAGTCAAGTGATTCGTGTTGGCACCCACGGGAGCATCAGGTGATTGACGAGGCTCGGCATTTCGCAACGTAAACTCGAAGAGGACCTCACCCAAGTGCATAGTAGATGGGTGTTCGGACTAGGTAGCTGAGGCTAAGGTAGGAGGATAAGCCCACATCTTCAGACCGGTCGAAGCTACCCCTGCAACACTCTTCCTTACTCGTAGTAGCCTTCCGGTCCATCGCTAACACGAAGACGACGTGTCGAGCTGGCCAACAATAAGAAAGCCGATAACGAGCAACAAAGGTCAACCACATTTCCCAGGTTGGAGCGCTGTTGCGGCAGGTGCCCCTCTTCGGAATGCGGATTGGCTCGGGGCAGTCGGGGAAGAAGACACCCACTTAGAAACGACCGCCAGTGGGTGTGGATTCCCAGCCTTTGATTGGCTTTCGGTCCTTCTTGCCTCAAGAGTCAGGCGCACAACCTCCCTCTCGCTCAAGCGTATTTATCTCCAGCCTCACCCACTTTGCACGTGTTCACCCTTCTCCTTTGCCGCGTGACCAGAGCTTCCCGCCGTCGCTCCCCCCAAACCGATACGCCCAACTCAACCGGCTCCTTTCAGGTCAATACCTCCTCGAAAAATAATAAGATAAACTCAAGCCTTTGCCCAGGCTACGGCAATCCTCAAGAATCGCGATTTTGGAAAAAATCGACGCGTTTCCCTGCTCTTCTGTCAACTTTCAACCTCGACTGCTACTAACCAACTACACGGGCTCCATCCGACGAGGCCCCCCCCAGCAGCCGCTGGCGCGCGATATCACGAGTTTGATCACGCCGACAACACGTGAACTCTAGCAAAACCCGTGATCTGGCTCACCGCCCAGACCACGCCGCGAAGCACATGATCTCAAGGTATGCGAGCTGTCCCATTTTTCTGACGATCTTCCCGTCTGCCCTATCGTCTTCCATCGCTATCACACTGCACTGCAACGGAAGCACGCTTCCGCAGAAAGATTGCTTTTCCTCATTTGCGCCATTTTTGGGGGTGCTGTCTTGTTCAAGCGCATCTCGCGATCTGTTGCCCAGCCACAATCAAGCGATTGTGCCGGATGGAAACTCATCATCCGACGGTCAATACATCCTCTAGTTGTCCAGGACGATTCTTTTTCCAGCAGACACGGCCTGTCAATCCATACAACCAAGTGTCATCTCCTTCTGATGAGCGTGGCGTATGCCGATTGAAACAAATCCTATACCACGACAATCTCAGCGCTCATGTTGAGCCGTCAGCTGTGGTCTCGTCAATGTCAAGCTTTTCCTGCTACCAATCTTCCACGGCATTGAAGAGCAAGCGCTCCAGTGTTTGCTCATGAGAAGCGGTCGCTGCTTGAGAGCACCACTCAGTTTCGATCAAATTCAGCTTTGCGATCCGTCACGGCTTACGGAGCATTTGATACTCACTCACTTGTCTTGACGTGACCTTTCGTGCTTGCTACTTCATGGCCTCACCACATGCGATTCCGGAATTATTGATGCTAACCAATCTTACTTAGTCCCCGCTTCAGTCAACTGAATCCAGCTTGAGTCGACGAAAGGATCGTGTCTACTGTCCGCGGCTCCGCCTATTAATCCTCTCTCATTCTCACATTTGAACCCACGGTCTCCCCCAACAACTCTCAACCACAGCAACAATGGCCGACGTCATGAGTGAGCATCCTGACTTATCGGAGTTGGCCCGCTCCCCATCTCCCGGCCAGAAGCGAAAGCGCGACGACGACTTGTCTGATTCGATGAGTCCTAGCCGAAAGCGTTCCAGTGCTGAAGGACTTTCAGATGTGGACACTGCAGCTTTCATTGAGAATGCTGTCGAGGCTGCCCATGCCGCTGCCCAGAACGGTGTCTCCGCCGCGGATTTCAGCGCCCTGCAACAAGCTGCCGCTGCTGAGCATTCCGAGGCAGCTGATCCGGCCAATGCTTCCAGCACCGCTGCTGCCGCCCTTGGATCCATGTATCCCACCCTTCATGTTCCTCCTACCACCGAGGAGCAGTTTGCTGCACAGTCGAGCAACGATCCGACCCACGGTCAAGACCATGGCTTCGGCCATGCTGACCTGAGCCCGCCGGACGGGCTCCCGGGTCTTCCCCCTGTCCCTCAGCCCACGAATGGCCTTCAGTCTGTGCAACCTCAGCAATCCCACCAACCTCACCAGCATCAGCAACCTCCCCCACCTCAGCACCGTTATTCGTCTGGATCAGCTGGCACTCCCGTTAAGAAACCGGACGTCGGTTCAGAGGAATGGCATAAGATGCGCAAGGACAACCACAAAGAGGGTAAGCAATATCAAAGAAGATCCCGATGTAGATGCTAACCTAAACATAGTCGAGCGCCGTCGCCGTGAAACAATCAATGAAGGCATCAATGAGTTGGCCAAGATTGTGCCCAATTGCGAGAAGAACAAAGGCTCCATCCTTCAGCGTGCCGTCACATTCATCAATCAACTCAAGGAGAATGAGACGCAAAACATCGAGAAGTGGACTCTTGAGAAGCTGCTTACGGAGCAAGCTATAGCAGAGCTCAGTGCCTCCAACGACAAGCTGAAGCAAGAGTGCGAACGTCTCTATAAGGAACTAGAGACTTGGAAACGAGTTGCTCAGAATGCGGGTCTTTCATACCCCCAGG